CCAGCAGGCAGAGGTGGAGGCCGACGGCGGTCCTCCCATGTCCGCACCAGCGAAGACATCCGCGACGCTGGAGCCGGATTCGTCGGTCCGCTCCGCACCAGTGTCGAGAATTGCCCTTCTCCACTCCTTGAAAGGAAGGCCAGATGTCCCATCCCATTGGATGACGGACGGCATGTCTTTGTCACGGTTGTTGCTAGACATGCTACGTAGTTACCCCTCAGCTGGCTCCACGTTGAAGATGAGCGCGCGCGTCACAGCGCAGGCCAGGTCTACACTGGCCGCGGCACCAGCTCCCGCGGTCTGCACGCTAGGAGTGGTCCGCCCTCGCAATGAATGCGGAATACTATTACGAAAAGTACAACTAGTGCGACACACTAGTCAGTCTCGTAATCGCGCCAAGAGCGCGGATACACACACAAACAACAGGCGCGGCTATGAATAGCTGCGCATATACAGATAACGACTGTTCACAGTTGGGAGAGAGAGAGTCGTCTCTAACGCTGCACGCATGTGCGACGCTGGCTGCCGCCTCTCGCTCGCGCAGTCCATCTGCGCCGTCCTGCTCGAGATCCCTCCGGCAAACAGCAGCGCTCAGCTGCTCCACCGCGACACCTTCGCGCCGCAGCTCCTGCCGCGCAGGCGCGCGCTCTCCGCCGAGTTCGGGTGCCGCGCCGTCGAGGGCGAGGCGGGCTGGCGCGCCGAGGCGCCGCCGATGCAGGCCAAGGTGAGAGCCTCGCCGCCGCCGCCGCCTCTCTGCTGCCTCTCCTCTCCCGCTGCTGCTGCCTCTGCCCACAACGACCGCCGCAGCCTCCGTCCGCACCGCCGCCTCGCTCTCTGCTGCTTGCCTCGCGACTGCTGCCCTCTGCCGCCCCTCCAAACCTCCCACCGCTCTCGCCGACCCGCGCCCTGCTCTGCCAAGGCGGTCTCCAACGGCAAGAGCGGCTCCGGCTTCCTCGTCGCCGGCGGCGAAGGTGTCGCCCCGTCCGAGGCGGGCAGCTACAGCGTCCTCCTCAAACAGCTCCACCCTCCCGAGGCGGCGCTTCTGCCGCCGC